ACACACACACAGTGGCAGCTGAAAAGCACTTCTCTACAAACCACAAGGTAAGCATTAAGCTTGTTCACAAACCCAGACACCAGGTACAACCCTGCAGCAGCTGTCCTAAGTATCAGTTTCCTCATCAACTATTCGATGGACATCAGGAATTGTGACAGGGCAAATGTGACATGCCAGCCACCTTCATGTTCTAGAAGACCAAATCCAATGCCATGTACCAAGCACATACCAGGCTTACTCACTCCCAACTGCTTAACACAGGTCCTCATGTAAGTGGCCGTGGTAAAAAGGTGCCCCACCCAAAGCAACCTCCACCGCCTACAGTTTCATTGACAGGTCAGCCAGTACCCTCTCTCCATGTAGCTGGAACTTCTCCCTCAATTTCTCCGGCCCCCTCTCTCTCCCCTTTTTCAAATGCTGCCTGAAAACCTTCCTCTTCAACCATGCTTACGGGCACCTAAGTGCAACACCTAGGTGATTCAGTGGTTCCTTACAGGGATTTATGACATTGAATATAAAACACTCACCATTCTCCAACCCCTTCCCTTAGAGCGGCTTTTAGAAACTCAACTTTATAACCGTCTGCAATTTGTTGTTGTTGTCTGTACCTACAGCCTTACTATTAGCAAGGTGACAGTGCAAAGGCCACTTCCTCACAGTGGACTGGCTCATTAAGAACTTCAATCTACTCAACATCCTCTGCCAGGTTTTCTAACCTCGATACAGATAGATCTTTACAGTGGTCTGTCGGGTCAGATGCCAATTATTGTCATCCAGACTCCAAGGATACCCTCATGGGATTGTTAAACTGTATTTACTGTAATTATAGAACAATTTATGTATGCAACTAAGGCCTGCCTCAGTTGGTAGCACTTGTACCTTCTGATTCTGACAACCTTCTGATTCGGACTTTGAGCTTATTGTCTAAGCAGTTTGGAGACAACAACTTGCATTTATATAGCATCCCTCACGCAGGGTAGACCGCTTGACAGTGGCAGAGCTGGGAAAGCACTGCATTGCATTTTGCCCATAAAATACACACAGTCTTTACAATGTATTCTGTGAAGCGCTTTGAGACACTATTAAATGTAAGGATTATTATTGCTGTTGTTGGAAGTGCCATACTTCAGATGAGGTGTTAAACCGAGGTCTCATGTGCTACTATTTGAAAATAGAAAGATTTCTCCCAGGGGCCTGGCCAACAATCCTCCAGATAAAAAAAACATGCGCATTCGCTTCATGGTTGTTTGTGGAACACTGTGTACAAATTGGTTGCTGTGTTCTCCTATAATATTCAGTCACTGCATTTTACAGAAAAATTCTGAAGTATTTTGAGATGTTTCAATATAATGTCAAATGCAAAGATATTATCTATGTGGTCCCATACACAGCAATGAGGTGAACAACTAATCTTATTTGGTGAAATTTGAATGGGGAAATAATGGCTACACCAAAATTCTAAATATTGTCTGGGGATCTTTAACATCCGTTTGAGCTACCATAACAGGCAAATTGTTCCCGACAGCAATTTTAATGCATCATCAAACAACAGCACCACTAACAATGCTATACTTCTTCAGAAATACATTGGAGTGTGTGGAAACCAAGCAGTTTTCATACAGAGAAACGAACACATCAAAAATGTTAGTCATCCTGCACACCAGCTCAAAAACTGCCATCAGCAGAGCCCGGGAGGTCAATCACCATCTCTGCCAGAATGTAGCAGGTAGATTTCAGATGTAAAATGGGGATAGGGGATTGTTCCTACTGTTACTCACTCAATATTGTAGTTAGTTGCTAAATTAAATTTTACAGTGATTAGAGTCCTGTGATGAAGATTCATCTCCTGACAGCAAATTAAACAGTCATTTTGCCATATTGTCCAGAACTACAGATGTCACACTGCAAATGGACAGAATACCAGTTGGTTTTTAAAAAAAATTTGAGAGAGGCATATCCAAAATATTTTTCAGAATTTTCAAAGTGCAACTGAATGTCAACAGCTTGCATTAAATTATTTAAAAATCTTATGAGATTACTCATATGTACCATTTTGAAAATGTCAGCTTTTTACAGGATAGGCTGAAGCAAGCTTCCTACTGTAGTATATCTACAACCATTTTATAAATTTAAATCAATATATCAAATAAATCAAATGTATCCCTGCTAAATATCTATACAAACTTCAGTTTTAATATTCAATATTTCTGGTGGCAACATGAAATTATTCAAATATTGTTCAAAGCAAGGACAGAAAGATGGGAGATTAAGAAGATTCATTTTAGAATTGTTAAGATGTGGAATGCCATACCAAGTATGGTGGGCAAGGTGGAGTCCACGTTAGCTTTCAAGAGGGATCTAAAATATCTAGAAAAAGAATAATTTGCAATAGTATGGTGAAAAGACACATAAACAGAACAGAATAGATTGGTTTGTCAAAGAACCAGCACAGACAATGGCCTGAAAAGCCTATGGTTCTGTAGTAGAACTAGAATTAATGATGCCTGAAGTTAAATAGCAACCCCAACAAATTTTCTGTTGCAATTTCTTTTTTTTAAAATTCAAAGCATATACTGTGAAGAAATCCAATCCATGGTGCAAAATTTGCCTGGCGAGTGAAATTTTTTGTGAATGGACTAAATTCCAGCTACAAACCCTCGTGGCTTCATTTACATAAACCACAGCAACAACTTACATTTATAATAGCACCCTTCACGTGGAGTAGCTTCTCAAAGCACTTAAAATTTAATTTAAATTTTTAAAAATAGTATAATGAATGAAAAATGCCACTTATTTTCAATTCTCTGATCTTTATCAATCCGCAATGCTGACCCTTCGGCAAATAAACCTGGACTACTTTTGGCACTGCATGCATTCACTGCATTTGTACAACAGATTATGGCAGAATCACTTCAAAGAGAAGTAGCTCTGAAGTACGCTGAGACTGTCAAGTCTTGGCAATTTTTCTGTTTATACTACGGGTCAGAATCCCTAAGCCTAGCAACAATACGTCAGCCTGCACAGTTCTTTCCAAGTATGGCTTTGCAAAAATATATTTCAGTACTTTTTAAAGATTATGCCTGGAAATGGTCATGCTGTTTAAAATATGAACACTAAATTGCTCCAATATATTAACTTTGCTAAGTAAACAAATGGTGGAAGATTTAGAAAACAGCTTTTGCATGCAGACATTATAATGGCTTGTTACCAACAAAAGGTTAAAAAAAAATCAGCTAATAGATCTTAGTCAACCAATTGGAAATCACTATTTTCTAAACAAGATATGCTTAACAAAAAATAAATAATTTCATGCTACCAAACATTTCTATTTTAGCAAAACAGAAATACATGCATAAATCACAAAAATAAAATATACAGGGTTATTTTCACAAAAAGTATAGAATGAAGTATGAGCAATACATTAACTCAATTATCCACACAAGAGAGAGGCCCCCCAATGAATAATTGAAATTGATGGATAGTCAAGAAAATATATTTTTATTAATGTACTGTACATATTTACAGTACATTAGAAGTTTGTTTCGGAATCCAAGACAATGAATATAAAGCCACTAACATCCCACTTTACTTTTTTTTAAAAAAATGAAAACAGCTTTTTAGTTAATAAGTATTAATGCATTTTTGTTCAAAAGCTCAAATTTCAGTATTATAAAAGAACCAAAAGCTTAACTATTTGATTCAACTTTATATTTGCAGAATATAGCATGGTCTTTCTAAGCAAAGCAGATTGTTTTATCATTACTTTTATGTTTCTGGTGAACATTAAGATTTATGCAGTTGAAGTTTCACTTTATACTGGGAATGTATGGATGGAAACAGAAAATTAGGAACATGCAACAGACTATACTCTGCCATACACTACTGGATAGCTTCATAAACTACAAAGCTCTCCTAATCCGACTTCCCTGACATGTTCATTAATATATTACTTCAAGTATCTCTCTTAAATCCCTCGACTGATTTCTCATATATAGCTTTCTGGGCAGTGCATTCCAGATTCTTATTATTCTCTGCATATTATTTTAATACTGGTCAACAGAATTGTTACCTGTATATTTTTGAAGCTATCATTGGGCACTAGGGCTAGAGTGATGCAACAAAAATGATCAGGTATAATTTAACATAATTGGAATATGTAAAATGGAGTTCCATTATACTGTATTTCTGGTTTTATTGCAACTAGTGGTTATTATAATGCAGGAAGAAATATCAGAACTGAGAAGATTTTCCCATCCATGCAAAGGGGCTATTGGCAAATTAAAAGCCACAATAAAACTTGCATTTCAAATGTGAAAGAGGCCCAATGGGCCACTAGAACTTTCTCTGGGAGAACTTCAAACAAGAATGTTACTCAAAAGAAGTTCTGCCGCAGATTATTTTCAATTAATAAGGAATCACAAAATTCTTACTGCCTCTTGCTCTTTTGTGTGATATTTCCGGTGAATCCAACCCATTTCAATAACTTTGCAGAGATTAACTTTGCTAATACTTTCTCCAGACTCTGTTATCCTAGTTTATTGACTGCTATTCTGTGCTGCACAAATACAAATGACATTTAATATAAAAATTAAAAGTAATCATTTGGAATTTCCTGACAGTCTTATTCCCTTCCTTTGCAAAGGCCCCTCTTATTACATGCAGCTTCTTTGAGCATTCCAGGCCATAATACTCACTGAACTGTTGCGATAAACCAACAGGAATTCCACTCATCAGCACAAATAAGTCAGATTTGGAAGAACTTCAAATTATATCAAAAAAATATTCTAACATTATACCAGATAAAACAAGGCGCAACATTCTGCTTCTGAAAAGCACTTTGGCTAGTTGTCTGGCAAGTCATTCCAACTACACCAGGTAAATTAGTCATGGGAATCCCAGACCCTCAATCCTGAAACTACCTAGCTGGAGGTGTATATACGAACACTTACTATGAACTACCCGATAAATAGTATTATTTTGGTTTGGGTTTAATAATTTACCTTGTTGAAGCGTTCATGAGGAACGTACTGTAGTACAATGGGTTCCATTGTAGTAACATTTGCAAACTGCACCTCTGGAATATAAAGTGCACAAACCACATGGGCCCAACCTGCACATAACCAAAACAAAACACGCATTATAAAATTCCACAAAGTCACACAGTTCAGATTTTTTTTGTGATGTGTAAAACAATACTATTCTTTCATAATAATCTTAAGAAAAACAATCTTCTATGTTGTAGTAAATGATGTATTTGCGGTATATTGCATTACATTCACATTCATCAACCAAACATTTGGGGATCCCAATACTCGAGCTGAATGCCATTGATTCAAAAGCTTGGCATGCGTCAGTTCCTCGCCTTGTGGGGTTTCTAAACCAATAGTCCAAAAGGATGACACATTAAATACACTGTGCTGCAAACTGGCACTGTTCCAAAGACATGTGGGAAACACTAGTGAAAGACCAACAAAGAACCTTATAGCTCAGCATTCCTGACAATCATACAGATGGTTCAAATTTCTTAACACCATCCCCCTCCTGCAATGTTAACTACTACACATAAACAAATCGAGAATGGCCCACTGTACACTAATCACTTTAATCACTAACTCTTTAAAAACTGCATTTAAGTCCAAATATTAACCTTCATATTAACCTTTTCTTAAGCGATTATGTTTCACTACTTTTAATACCTCTATTTCTCATAACTAATTTCAAGTGATGGATTTCATTTTCAAGTGAACCTTTTCTCTTATACATTTAATTATTACACTGAAATTTTGTACACATGTTTAACCGAGGTCTCAGTTCAGGTGGACATTAAAAAAAACATGAAAAGAGAAGGGAATTTCTCCCAGTGTCCTGGACAATGATACTCCAAATAAAATTCACTTCATGGTTGTTTATGGAATATTGTTGGCTGCAAATTTGGTAACTGCATTTTCCCACAAAATACAGTCACTACTTTACAGTATACCCTGTGAAGCGTTTTGCAACACAAAATATGTTTTTCAAATGTAGGATTTATATTAATTATTGTTATTCTCCAATTAAATGAGTAATTCACCATCTGGGCGTTTGTGGGACATTGCAATGCCCAGATTGGCTGTCACATTTGCTACAAACAACTCTGAAGCACTTTGAGAACAAAGATACTATATCAAATTCAAAGATTGTTATAGAACTACTTAATGACCCATTTTAAATTCCCAAATCACTTCCATCCCAAACAGAACAAGACAATACAATTTAAATTGAGTAAAACAAGGTCAAATCAAATTTAATTCTGATCAAACCAAGACAACAATACTAAGAATACACATTCATTGTCTACCATCAAGCAGATGAGTAGTCCATAACTTTATAAAGTTTATATACAATTGGAATGTAACTAGTTTTTATATTATACATAAATCAGCAAGTATCACCTTACAACACGTAAAACTAAAGTGTTTTACATTCTCAAAACTTCTTTTTAAATCCATTATTCTCTGCAAAGGCAAAAGAGTGGTGAAAAAGAACTACCAATTACACACTGAACAAAATTATAATGTGTCATTTCCAGGTTGTCTGCCTAACACAGCTGGTATCACTCTCGCCTCCAAGTAGAAGGCTATGGGCTCAAGTCGCACATCAGGACTTTGAACTCATAATCTAGGCTGACGCTGTTGCTGCACTGTTAAAAGGTGTGTGCCCCTACAAAATACAGGCTCTACATTTTACAGTATATCCTGTGAAGTGCTTTTAAGACATTCTCCTGACACATAAGGCATTATACCAAATGAAAGGATTATACTTGTTAATAAGTGGAGAGGTTGGATGCCGTGGGGAAGGGTGTTACCGTAGGCATGGTTGAAAAGGTAGGGTTTTCAGAAGAAATTTAAAAGATAAAGAGGGGGAGAAGTGGGAGGATTGAGACATGCAATTCCAAAATTAGGAGCAGAGTGGCAGAAGGCACAGCCACAAATAGTGGCGCAGGATGGTTGGTACAGCAGACATGTTAGCTAAACGCAGGAGGCGAGCAGGAGTCAGGTAGAGCAAGTCAAAGAGGTGGGGAGGTGCTAGGGCGTATAGGGATTTGTATGCAACGTCAAGAATCGCCAAGTCTACTTTGGGGACAGGGAGTCAGTGGAGTCTGGTGAAGATTAGGCATGCAGAGTTTGGTTCGGGCAAGGGTAGGGGCAGCAGAGTTTTATATCAGCTGGACGTTGTGTATAGACGTTGTGTTTCAAACTGTTAAATAGAAAACAACAACCCTCAACGACTTTTATTTGAGAACTGGTACAGATACAAGATATAAAATCTTAGTCTCAGCAGAAACCTTTTTTTCTAAAGGTTTCTGCTACCTCAGGTAACAATTTAATTGGTGATGTGGCACAGTTATCAAACGAAAAAGGTCAAAATTCAATCCCTGATCATGTATTAAGTTAGCTTATTCCATTAGGAAGACTAATTTTTTCCAGATGGAGCATAGCAGTTATTCCTGGTCATGACTAGATTGGGTAAAGGGGAAAGCAGAGAGAGAAACAAAGAGATATGGCACAGTTCCCATTCCTGATCATTGTTGAATGATTCCTACAGGAAGGTTCACATGTATGGACAAGATCAAACTCGGCTGTGATGCCCCTCCCTTGGTTCAATAGCCTGCCAACTTTTACAGTGCTGCAACATGCAGGAAGGATTCTAATGCCCTTAAAACGTAATCCAAACATCTGGAAAAAATTCATAGCTTTTTCCCCCCAAAAAATACAAATGATATCTGAGGATACAATACTACCCTCATGGTAAGCAAGTAAGCAAGATCTCCTTGTAGCTGAAAGATGACAGACTTAGCAATGGATTGTCGGAATTGAGTCAACCCTCTGAGGTGATCTCAATAGTCTGGTTCCTGAGCCAAGAGAGTCTGCAGTACTCCGAGGCATGGCTGCCCGGCTCATCAGCTGAAATCAGAAAGGTGTCTTCTCACTCAGTGCCCATTAACCCTACAAATGAAAGTCCTAACTGGACAAGCAGCGGGGAAGCTTGCCAGATAGTGGTTTCAATAGCAAGCTATATAGTTTTAGCTGGTTATATTTCACCAGTACCCCAATGCACCCTCTGGGCTCCCCAAACCTTGGCTCTTGCCAACATGCATCATACTTTCTGGCATTAGGTAAACAAGATGCATCCCCTCCAGGGAAAGAGTGGGCATTCCATTCAAATATATGGGAATTTCCATTTAGTTTGCATAATTTTTATTATGGAAAATTGTGCATTGTGTTTTTGTTTTATGCATTTGAACCACCACTGATTATTTTCATGTAAAATGTCAATTAGTAAGACTTTAATGAGTTGTTTCTCAGAACATACTGCATTATACAATCTGCACAGTACCTGATGAGATTTCTAAGATTAAACATGGCAAAATCACTCTTTTGGCAATAATGAAATGAGAATTCATATTTTTGAAAAATGTAAGCTTGGTAATTTGGATGACAAAACAATAGACAATTACAACAGTAAAATAAGCAACTGTTATAAAATAAGTTGAGGCAGCAAGCTTCTGTAAGATTTCAATACAAATTACTGAAAAAGTTTTGTTTAAAGAGAGAACTGAGAAACTAAACACATAGTGGGATTTTATCCATTGGAAGCTGATATAGTTTAAAATGCTTTGCTGAAGTGCTAGGAAGTACCTCAACGACTAAAATACAACACCAATGTCATATACAGGGATAAATGTAAAGGACACAAAATAAAAGGTGTAATACCAAAATATAAAGCTACCGAGATGTTGACAATATTTCCTAAACATAAATTATAGGTCTAATTCACAAGTCTATGTACTACTAAATTGCCACTACTTATTTTCCATATTTGACTATAGTTATTTTACAATACATATCTTAAAAGGTACTTGAAGTTTAAGATGGATTCTAACAAAATCTAAGATCCATATGCCGCCATACAAAAGCCATTGAATAACAGTACTTTTAGAGAGACAATAAAAGGATAGAACCGAGAAGAACAGCCAAAAACATGGACAGGCTTGGAACAGAAGAAAGCAATATTTGGTATCAAATATTTGGCAATATTTTGCAGAACAATGTTATGCCGAAATTGGCTGCTGCATTTGCCTAAAGAGTCATTGCACTTTCCAGTAAATCCTGTGAAACACTAAAAGACTTACTCCCAAAGCAAGAGGTGCTATATCAAATGTGAGGATTATTTATTTGTTTGTATGTGTTTGACAAAAAACACTGTAGTGCGCACAAGGAATAGGACAATTATTTGTGAATTTGTGTCCACCACACTGAGTGGCATCGGTGACAAAACAATACCTCCAGCATATCTCCAAACAATTAATGATAATGTCTTACCACTTGTCACAGCTTTTATCTTCAGTAATCATTTTTGTATTTTTTTAAACAAAAAATGAAGACCTGGTAATTAAATGCCCTGATTATCCAATGTAATAAATCTATGTAAAAGGAAACTAGCATTCTTAAAGCTGTATTATTAACTTCCTGAAATAGGTTTGCAGTAATAAAGCAGGTTACAAAACAATGTTTCCTCCCCTTCTCCCATCTTGCTCATCTTCAAATGGTACCCTCACCTCTCTCTGACTCGTCTCAGGCTCAGCCACGTTAAGCTCTCTGAGATGTTACCCAACTTCAAGAGCACTATATAAATGCAAGTTGTTGTCTTTAAGGTTTTTTTTATCACATGTGTATCAGAAGTTGTAAAATAACACTTGAAATAACATTTGAAAAAGGCAAATTTTCCCAGAAAATTACAATTCAGGTTTTAAGATAGGGCGCTAAATTGCCACTATTAATCAGTACTTCTGTGTTTTTTTTAACTGCAACAGAAACAGCACTGAGGCACGTTGTGCATGACTTCATCAAGCTAGCTGGCAGATCTCATATATACTGCTATTCGTGCGATCACAATCTAACCCACCAGTGCCAGGAGGTTACACTGTGCAATCCCTTGTTGCACAACCTAACCTACTAGCACTAATCACCTAATAACAGGATTTTCATGCTTTTACATCACGTAATCTCAGGGTCTTATAAGTGAGGCAGTGCTATATTGAAAAGCATTAGAAAAGGGTTCCCCATACTTTAAACACTACCATACTTTATACTTCACATTAAGGAATCTCAGCAAGGCCCTCACAGTGACGATCCTCCCTTCCACATACTGCAATTCACCACAAGTGGGGTGTGGTTTAATTTCCCAGGCAAGTGACACAAATTATAAATTCGCACTTTAAAAAAATCTCCCCTTCTTCATCATCTCCTGAAGTCCAAGACTCATTCTGGGTTATTGTTCCAAACGAATTTGTAGCATGTTAAAAGATTGCATTACTCTTTGCTCTACACTGTCACTATGCCAATTTGTACATTATTAATGGAGTCGTCCTAGATTTACAGTTCATAGTACAGTGGGCCATTGAACCCATTGTACCAGTCTGTACTGTTGCTCACTCTCCAATTAAGATATCTACTCAAATCCCATTCCCGTGTTCTTTCCTATATTCTTTAAATATTTCCTTATTTTTATTCAAATATGTGTCAGAACTAGAGGAATACGCTTAAAATCTTACAAATAATAGTGTCTTTAAAATCCACTCTTATAGCTTCAGTGTATAAAGATAACCAGATTATTTGGCGTAGTACAAAAATTAGCTGCCACTCAAGTTTATTTGTAAACTTCCACAACAGCATTGCTGTTACAAGTAGAGCATGAAATGAGAATCTGAGGTGAGATCAGTTGTTAAGTAATTGATCTCAGCCTAGATAACAGCAGAGTACGACAACTGTCCTTCGTGGACTAAGCGAGGGGAGGGAGAAGCAGGCTGGGTGGAAATACTGAAGGTACTTACTCCTGATCACTATCCTGTGACCACTGCTGGAAAGTGCACGTGTTTTGATTTTGGGTGAAAGCACTATCAAGCTCATCTGCAATACCTCCCACAATCAATGGCCTAACAATCACTGCCTGGGCACACATGAACTGGCACCTGTGGAATTGCATCTTTACATGCATCATTGGATCAGGGAATGGACTTTTTTTAAAAAAATCGGTGGGTGGGGGAATGACCAAAGAATAGCAATGAAGTGACTATGTTTCAATTATAATTCATATATAATGTAAAACAAAAAGCATTTTAAGCTAAAAATTAAATACCAAGTTCAATTTGAAAAGGTGAGGGGACATTTCTGTTATTTCTTAATATACAAAACATGTTAACAGTGTATGAGAAGTCAATGGTCTTTTTAATTTCATATTTTAAATATTATTGCTAGTGTATTTTCTGATAAACATTCCACCTCAAACTGGAAGCAGAAATCATTCTATATATAAACAGCCACTAGGTGGAGTCTACTTTGCAAAATACAAAAATACTTTTTTTTAAATTCTCTAAATTCTCTATACAACAGACAATGGGTAGCTGTTGGGTGTACAGAAAACGCACCACTTGTAAAAACACTGATAATTCACTCATGCATGCATCAGCTATGAGTTATTAAGCCCAACGTCACTCAACATTATTTTCTATAGATCACTGTTATATACGATACATGTATCCTATATATGCAACCACAAGTGAATACTTTAAATTTCAATTCAGACCACACTACACAATCCCTTCGGTATTTCAGTTTAGTAAAAATGCTCACCATCATGTTTTTACACAAAAATGAACATGGAAACCAATGTCTTAATGTTCCCATCAAGCACCCTCAAAATTTAGATCTATTTTGCATTGAATCCAGTTTTTAAAAAATATTCAGTGATGCAGATTTGCAGCATGAAACCCAAAACCTTTTGCAAATCTGAAATCTAAAACGAACTAATCCACATGCAAAAAGTACAGTATTCAATCCTAACTGAAGGTAATAGCGACAGTACTGAAAAGCAGACATTTTCAGTCTAGATCACCGACATATTACAGTACGCAGCACAATGCTCGTAACAGAATATATTAGTTACTTATAATGTACACTATTCTGACGAGTTTCTTGCAACAAATCATCATACATTTATTTAATGTGTTAAAATGTAAACCAACTTACCTCCGTTGTCAGTCCTCTTGAGAGCGCCATCCTTATGAGGGCATAGTTCACATTTCTTGGAAAACAGGAAGGAATAAAAATAGGTACTGTAAACCACATGTAACGCTGCAAATCTATGCGATCATTAAAATTAATCAATCAATTTAGTCGCCCAGTCTCCTTCATTTACTATAATCGTGTTTCGATTCCAATGCCCAAACTCATCTACTTCAATAACACCTCACTCTCTCTCTCTCTCTATATATATATATATCGTCATAAATTAACACGGCCCAGTTATTTTACATCCAACTGTGCTGAAAATGTCAGACGTATTCTGGCCTATCCAGAGCTAACAATCCTGTGCGGACAAAACGCAAACCGGCTTTAAAACAGCTCAGCAAATCGCTGAGACCCAAAAAGGCGTCGAGTGTTTTTTTTAAAGCCCAGCAAAGCCTAAAACCAGTATCAGAACTGCAAACAACCCCCTCCCCCTCCACGACCAGAAGAGCTCGCAAACAAGGGCTCAGTCATCGCTGCCATTCCGGCGGAATGTGGAACTCGATCGGTTGAACCACAGCGATCGCTTCCATATTTTAAACACTACCGAAATCAAACGCTGAACATTTCAAACATGAAACCCCACCAAAATGAATTGACGAAGCGATCCTTTCGTTTTGAAAAACAACTCCCTCTTTGCCGCTCTGTTAAATGAATGTCGTTAAGGCGCTGCCCTACATACTGCAAACAGCAGCACTTCACATAATCTTCTTCCGCATATTTTATTTTCGTCATTTTTGGGAGGCCGCTGAATATACGCTGACAGCACACCGCACAATGATGACATTACTGTTTTTCCAACACGATCGCCTGGTCAATCGGCCCCAAATTAGGATTTTTTTTTAATACCAAAGTCAGCTTTACAAAATGGTTAACAGTAAAAATCAAGCAGCCCGATCAACATTACTGTGCGTAACGCAGCACCATTTTTTTTACACTGCAGTATTTTGCAATCAGTGAATACTGGTTACGAATTACCCATTGCTGCGGAGTTGCGTCCGGATCACCGAACAACTCAAAAAAAGATTAAAATGGGGCGCACTTTTTTTTTTGCAAAAAAAATGTAGTTAACGGTAACGGCAATAAAATACGAATATGTTTTGCGCGTTCCATTCGAGTTTATTTGCTCAAAAATGAGAACTGTGCTAGAAATATTTATGGTCGGGAAATATTAATGGGCAGTCCAGGTTGACGTTGTAACTGCGACAGCGGTAGTCAGAGCCGCTCAAACTGGACACATCAACGGATACAACAGCCAGAGAACCGCATGTACTCACCACTCGGGCGGCTCTCTCTTGAGATTCACATTTTCTACAAAACCACGGTCCGGTGGGGACTTGAACGATGCCGTAACATGCTGCAGATGTTTGGGCAAAAAAAAGAGAAACGGAAACAGTCGATTTCCAACTTCCCTATCAGTCAGTAAAAGACGAATGTAAACACGAATCAAGGACAGACTGCACAAGCGATGGAGGGGTAACATGTTGTATATACACATATGTTAATTTATTTATATATACTGTGTGTGCACGTGTATGTATACATGTCCGTCTCTCTCTCTCTCTATATATATATACACACACACACACGTGTACGTTGACTATACATACATTGATGTGTGCATTCACGCACAATCCAGATTTCTGTCTGCGCGCACACATTACTGCTCATATATCTTTATATGTATGTCCACACACACACACACACACACTACACCACACTACACGTACATCTGTGCACACACAAATCACACACACGGTTTCTATCTATATACGTGCACACACATCCACACTCGCAGTACACCGTTCTGTTCAGCAGAAGCCGTAAGGAGACAGACAGGAAAAAAAAAGTTACTGCATCATCAAATATATATATATATATGGAAGTTAGTCGGCGTGTATATACCTTGCCCGGCAATCACAGGCTGCTTTTGCAAGTTTTAACACCGCGATAAATCCTCTCGCGAAACGCTACGGCGACATTTTGGTTAAAAAAAAAGAAACACAGCGGCGAGTGGGAGGGAGTTAGTTGGGGGGAGTATTTCTTCCTTTTTTTCAACCCCCCCCCACAAAAAAAGTCAGTCGTTATACAATTAACGAGCTCTCGATCTGAAGACTTCCTTCCTCCTCCCTCAAACCCCCCCTAAAACAACAACAACAACAACAGCAGCAGCAGCGGCGGCGGCGGCGGCGACCCCGGGGTGAGCCAGCGAGGGAGGGAGGGAAAAGGTCGGGCCTAACTGAGCACCAGCCTCGGGTCCTGTCCTTGTGCCGCCGCCGCAGCAGCAGCAGCAGCAGACATTTACCTTGATGAACCGCGACATTACAACCATGTCCGTCACAGTAAACCAGCGGATTCTCGGCCCAGCCTCTCTCGTCTGAGCAAACGCAACAACCTCCAATCATCTCCTTCATATTTGAAAAGTCAGCCGGAAGTCCACTCGAAACCATCTACGGGTAGAGAAGAAGAAGGAGAAGAAGGAGGAGGAGGAGGAGGAGAAGGGGGAAAAAAGGAGAGAGAGCAGAAAGTTTCCCTTCTTCCTTCCTTTGAAATTCACGTCCCACATTGTTCCGGGCCCATGGACGGACGGCAGCCCCTTCCTTCCTTCCTTCCTTCCCTCCCTCCCTCCTTCCTTCCCTTCCCCGTCAAACACGAGTCGACGCCACCGCGGTGCCCGGGCCAACGGGGCTGGGGAACACCAACGGCCGAGCCGAGCGGAGCATGCGCACTCGCTGCCCACGAGGATATTACGAGGATTCAAAGATTCTCCCCGACAGGAGGAGGGGGAGGAGTGGGAGCGACTCCACGCGCAACTCAAACTGCCAACCGGAAACCGCTCGAGAGAGAGAGCGAGAGAATGCGAGACACTTGTCCATCCCCCCCCCCTCCTCGGGCGGTGTGTGTGTGTGTGTGGGGGGGAGCGCCGAGCACGTGCTCTCGCTCCGAGCCACCTGATTGACAAGCAGCCGATTTGTCCCGCCCTCGCGGATTGACAGCTCCGACCGTCCAATCCCCGGGACCAACGCGGCTCGCTCGGCGCCGTTGATTGACGGCTCCGCGGGCCCCGGCCCCGCCCCCCCGGCTCGCGAGCAGCTGCCGAGGCTGGTAGCTTCCGGGGGAGGGAGGGAGGGAGGTGGTGGGGGTTTCCCTGTGTTGCCCCTCCTGTCCCTCTCTCCCTCTCTCTCTCTCTCTCTGTGCTGTGTTTCCCCTCTCGCTCCTGCCATTCGCGTTGCACGTTGCTGGGAGCGCACACGGGGCATTGTGGGTATGGTATATAAATGAGCCACAGCCGGAACGAGCGAAGGTTAAAGGTGACTCACTCAACCTATCGTTGCCCCCACGTGAATTCGGGCTAAGCAGTTGCAGATACCAAAATTTGGGGCTGCAGAGCGCAGGAGAGAGACACACACACACACACAGAGACACAGAGAGAGACACACACACAGAGAGAGAGACACACAGAGAGAGAGAGACAGACAGACACACACAGAGACACACACAGACACAGAGACACACACACAGACACAGAGACACAGACACAGAGACACAGACACAGAGAGAGAGACACACACACACACAGAGACACACACACACACACAGAGACACACACACACACACACAGAGTGTGGGGGGGAAATCTGGAAACTCACAAGCAGTTTTAATTTAACCTGTCCCCCCCCCCTGTATTGCATTTAATTTCTACGTTGCCATTCATTCCCGGGGAAATACAACAACAGTTTTTTTTCCAAAAAAAAAAAGTTCTGCATTTTTTGAGCAAAAGCGGCTCGGTTTATACCATTTTTTATCGCCGCTGTTTACGGTAGGTTTGTTACGTTCGCCAAACATTAAAGCGGGGGGTGGGGGACACTTTCAAACTTCAGAGCTAAAAGGTAGATAATCTTGTTTATTGGGTGCAGAAGGCGAGCCAAGAGCAGCGCCATCAAGCAAAGGAGAAGCAGACGTAATGTGTTTCACTGTCGACCCAACCGTTTTAATGAAGAAACAACGATATTAAAAAGCAAAAGGAAATATTGACGTTTGCATTGCAGAAAAGAGAGCTCGAAAACATTGCGGGTTTTCCTGTTGTTAACGTTTTACTGGAGCTTCTTACGTTTGGGTTTCTCTGCCAGCAGGACAGTACTGTAATCCATGAATTTAAATTAAACGTTTAATCAATTGCTTTGCATAAATTCTTCTTTCCGTGCCCCCTCTATCCATAGTTAATTACTAAGCATTTGCATTTTAGTAAGTGTTCGCAGTGGCCGGGATGTTACAAACTTTTTTTTTGCAATTGCACGAGTCAAATCACAAAAAAAACACATTCACGTCAGTGTTTGCAAACGTGTTTTTCCTTTTACAGAGGCTCGTTGTGTCACAATGAAACCTTTTAAATCAACCTTTTTAATATTTTTTTTAAAAAAAAATCAATTTGACCGTGCACGTTCTCAAAGCTTTTTTTTAAAAAAAGGAATATCATATGTTACCTTAACACGTTTCTGTGTTCAACCAAAACCAATGCATTTCTGCGGAATAGCTCCGGGAATTGCTTTGTCCGCCCCTGCAAATTTGCTGTTGATAACTCCATTCTAGTTGAAAACTTCATTTTCGAGCATGAAATCTATATTTAATCTAGATAATTACACCGTACTTAAATCCGTTTATACCACTAGGGAGTAGAAAAAACACGAGATGAAACTAATTTTCGAGATGCAGAATTGAATACCCTTTGTTTCTGTATTGTTGCCCTCCATTCCAGCAGCAGCACGTTTGGAAACGCTTACCTTCTGTCCTTTTAGATCCGCAAAGTGTTTGCTGGATGCAAAGATGATTGCGAGATTTTTGAATCTCTTTGGCAGCTGTAAATATAGCGATCGGTGCTTGCTGCACACGAGGCTACGTATTTTACTAATATTGTGGTTTCTTTAAGGGCTGCCTTGCCGAGCACGTTGTTGCAGTCTGCAGACCCCCGCCTTCTGAATCGGTTACGTTACGACCGTCTGGTCCATCCTAATTCTGTTGCTGCCAGTCGAATTGAGCGCATTGGGAGGACGAAACTTTCAAAGGAAGCGGCTTACAACTCCCCGCTCTCGATTCACCCAAAAAATGTATTCTCGCAAACTCCCAGAAGTTACTTTTCTTCTGCGTTCGTGAAGACTGCAGTTGTTTGCAGTCCTTGGCTCCCCCCCCCAAAAAAAATAGACGCCGATTTTAAACAAACGCTTTAGTTTGCGTTTAGTGAGAGAGAAAATCACCAGAATCCCCGTCCTCTTATCCCATAAAATATGTTTTGCAAAATTGTTTGGGTGTGATTTTAGTTTTAAGGAAAGCCTTTTGATTCGGTTTCCTAAGTGACACGGTCAGCGGAGTGCATTCAAAACATCTGCAAATTATGAATTCTTCTTGACAGCATGGAATTCAACCCAGATAATGGGAATTGTGCTTTTCGGTGTAGCAGGGAAAACAACTCAATGTGCTCAAAATAAAGATTACTTTACGCATCTATTGCAAAGTATAAATAGGTTGCAGTTTCAGAAATGAAATTTTAATTTTGCCGAGTTAAGTATGACGTGACAGTCCTAAACAATGCTCTGTGTTTTCATGTGTTGTTAATCGTTAGTTTTTGCACAACCACAAAGTAATTATTCTCCAAATCGCGCCTTCTAAAAATCCAATTAGATGTGAATTTTCTAACCTGATTAGGATTTTAAATGATACTTATCTGTGCAATCAGTGCAATAAAACAGTCGTAATAGAACTTACACCTTCACCACTGTCATGTTTTTTTCCCAGTTAGCGTGGCAAGGATTAAAGTGCACGAGTTTGTGTCCTGACATTAGAACATTTTTTGTTTCCCATCACATTGGCGCTTACATTAACATTCGCAGGCCATATTAGTTTTCTGCCATCTTGGTACTTAGCTGTGTCCTACAAATTGTCTAGTTAATATTATAAATTTCGATAGAAATATGTCCAATATTGAATATAGCGTACAACGTAGAGCAGTTCCAGCAGTTTTCATATTTATAACACTGTGCTTGACCTGCCGAGTTCTTGCTAACAGAATGTTTCCTGTTAAACCTACCTTACGCAATTTAAGCCATTCATGCAAAAGAAATAGAGAATTTAGTGCAATCTAAACCTTTAGAACTTGCTTGTTTTGACTTTATCGCCATGATTACTTGGCCAGAAGAAGAAATCTTTAAATTCTCAGTGAATATTTCCATCTCTCTACCTATGGTTGAGCACTGGTACTTGTGAGAGAGGAATATAGTCCCTATTTAACTGCTTTTCCATGCTTAACCATTATCAATAAGAAAGGGCGTCCTTTCTTTTTAGCAGAATGCACACTCTTATGGTCTGTCGAGAACAAAGCCTCCCCAGCCCCCCTTTGCATGTTCAATGCTTTGCAAATTTAGAAAGGCTGCATTGAGTTCGGGATAGGTCAAGGGGCAGGAGAGGGGTAGAAAGGTCAACACATTTTGATTATGGGTCAGTAGACAATTGGCATACAGTCTATATGCAAGTAAAATAGAACAAACTCCTGATGAAAACCTATCCTGTACGATTCCAGTCGCAGTTAACATTTATTTTGCAGTTTCCAGATATTCCTTCTGGTACACTCTCATTTCAAAAGAAAAAAAATGCATTAAATTCTTAAAGAATTTGCACGGAAAATCGATTTTATGTAAGTAAATATTCAATACCAAGTAATGTATTTATAAATCCTCACTTTTAACATTGTTCGAATGTTATAGAAGTATTGCTCAACTGCAAAGAGTGAAAATTGTTTGCATTAGTCATCTCACTACAGGCAAACATGTTGAATTGTATACCACAAGCGAGCAGGTTAGTAAAAGCTTAGCTATCCCTTGAGCAACCATGGACAATCGCTCCTTTCTTATTCTTTAAGACAACATTAAAATGTACCAATTTTGTAACTTAAAAGATCATTTTGACGATCGCTACACGTCAGAACTTTTTGACTAGACATAAAAACGTCTACCATTAGATCGATAAAGCACCATGAAATGCCTGCTTTTCCATTTTATCAATATAAATTATATATTGGGACAACATAACCTTATAAGTTGTCCTAAACACTAAAGATACAGTTTAAGTATAAATGTCAACGTTATTACTGATTGCAGGAATGTAAAGGATTATTTCGATGAATAAAACACTTATGTGACCAAGGAGGAAAACAAGAAGTCACTCTGCATATGTGTGAGTCGTGTCTGTTTCCAATAGCTGCGAAGAAAATTGAACTGGGGCCCCTTTACTAAAAACTGTCACGATCCATCCCATAAAATTGAACTAGCCACGTTAGTGGACTTTTTTTTACTTATTTGCATTTATCTTAGGGGGAAATTGATTCATAAAATTGCTAACACGTTGACAAGGCAAATAGACGTTGTTGGTAGATCACTTCATCCAAATACAGAGGCGAGATGGTTTTAAAGCAGGCCTCGCTGTCCTTTATGGTGAAAATACATGTTGTGCTTGTAATTGCTTTTAAATAAAGCAGTTGACTTGAATTGCATTTTGTGTGAGTTCAATCACATTTCATTATTTACCCCACTGCAAAATTACTTCTCACTTTTGTTATTTCTGCAACTAATTTTACATCGGTATACAGAAAACATCCAGTTGTGAAATGGTGTAAATTTGGTGCCTCGAATTATAGTTTTTTTACATCACTGTTTCCAAACTATATTTATGTTTCAAAAAGGAAAATCATAGTCAACTAAGAATCACCTGCTATTGTAATTAGAACAATCAGTGTTGTTCTATGAAGGATGTTGCTGTCGCTGGGATCAAATCATTTACAATGGTTTTATATTTGATTAAAATGACAGGCAGCCACCTTGCTGAGCTGTCTCGCTGTTATCAATTCAGACATCTAGATGTTGGATGAAAATATATGTAAAATCCCTGTATAGTACATAAAATATGTGACTCTTCTGTGGTGTACGCTGGTAGCTGGTGACAAAAAAAAACAGATCGCCTTGCAAATGTATTTCGAGACAACTTGCCTTTCATGTATGTATAGAGGGGCCTCGGGAAGCTCCTCTTTAGAGTCAACCTCCTTGTTGCTAAACAGCTCTGGATATACGACATTTCGTGATGTGCAAGAACAACCTGTCATTTTCTGTCAAATATTGATGGTGACAAAAACAACTGATGGCAGAATTAAAGAGCAAAAAATGGTTGTATAAAATGCAAGTAATGATAGCAATTATTCAGTAATTCTGTGAATTAAAAGTAGAAATGATTAAATACTCAGCGCCAGTTTACATTTTAGCATTAGAATAGTTCACCAAATGCCTTGTGTCTCTCAAATGGTCAGCTCATTATATCCTTTGCCCCTACGGCATCTATAACCCTTTTTTTTAAAAAATGTTTTACATTAGGTAGCGTAATTTTAAATGCATTTATGACCAGTCCATTGTATTGCTTAGTCTGTATACTAAAATACAAGCGGAAAACGTGGGTGAGTAGAAATTGTCTCTTTTTTTGGGTTGTTGAGCATTTTGCAACAGAATATAGAAAACTGCAAACCAGTCCAGCTCCCCCCCCAAAAAAAAGATATTTTGCGGTTGTTAAACTAGACTGTAAAAAGATGACATGTACTTTGGCGAAGAACAACTATTATGGACGCATCCGTGCTTTGACACATTTTACGATTATGTGAACCTGGAAATTCACACAAACCACGAAAATAGCTAAATCGGTTCAGATGAAGACTAATAACGAAGCAATAAAGGGCTGCATGTCGTCAGCAATAATGCGACGATGCGTTGTCTAGTGCACTGACCATCAAATGAAGTTTGATTGGAGAAATAACTAGTTCCCTTTCATCGATTCAATAGTCCATCGCCTCTCTCTCTCTCTCTCCCTCTCTCTCTCTACAGCTTAGTACTGTTGCGCCGCAAATAACACTTCTGCTCCGCCTCATCTGCACTGGGGTCGCACGGTTTTTTTTTCCAGACTTTCTCTCGGATGACTTTGAAGTTTGTGGATATTTTCTGACAAAACTCGAACGTGCCGGGTTTGCTTTTTGCAGTTTGTGAACAGCGATTGGCAGTTGTGCACAAAGCTGCTCAGATATACAGCACATAGCCCAGGCAGTGCGCTAAACCCGCGTACATGTTTTTATGCACTGTCAACAATCGATCCCTCTCTTATGCAGAACTGCACTGTCAGAAGCGCTTCCCTGTCGTTAAATTATCACGATATTTAAGCTCCTGTCGTTCTGTTATTATTTCCGACGCAGCAAAAGGATAAAGTTTCTCGCTGTTACGGTCGTGTTCGGGGCAGTTTTCAGATACCTGCGTCTCCTATGGCGAGGTGGCCATTGTGGAAACGTACGTCTGCGAAAAGCAGTAAATACGTTTGGTCCCTCTGCTGTGTTTCACCTATGAACGGAGTAACTTGTTACTATGACTTGGCTCGGTGCGGACAGTGTATCTGTATTGCAATATGTGGTTACACGAGCGCATACGACGTGATGAGCTCCATGGTGGTGTTCCTTTCTGTAGCTGCTATGCTAATCTGCAGCATGAACTGCGAGGAAGTTCACTGGTCTTAGCGAGGGACTGTTGCTATACCATATTTATCACACGGAGATCTTTGTGTGTGTGTGTGAGAGAGAGAGAGAGAGAGGGGGAGAGTGTGTGGGGAGGGGGCAGCTGCACACTACCATTTCAAACTGCTTCCTCCAAAGACCAATTCTAACCTTTCCAAAACGTACAACTTGATTCAAGCCTCTCACCCTATTCGGCAAGCATTTTGAAAAACGTGCCTTTTATGCGAAGGGCGCCACAGAAATGCAAGTTATTATTAACTATCATTAAAACGGTACTTGTAAATTGCAACAATCTTCCGCTGTTCGCCAATTTCAAGAAATTCTATTTATTTTCACAAACTTCTGGTTGTTGGGTTGGGTAATAACTGCATTTTGTGGACACACTTTATACGTGTTGAAGAATGTGAAAATGAGCTTTGCATTCAGTGAATTTATATTTGTAGACCCACGACAATGTTAACAGTGTATTCAAGCTTACCGCAAACAATATTTTAGTCAAGAAATATCATATGCACGATGAAGTACTTTTAGAAACCTCCCATTGTATGCTGTGCTGCCATATATTTTATCTCTTTTTGAGGCATAAAGCATATATGTTGCTCAAAACGTAGCAGCGTATAGAGCAAAGAATACAATTCAATTCCTCTCTGGATGGGCGTTCAATCTTGAGTAAGCGAACTGCGCTGGGTCTATGGAGGTGATTTCCTTCAAGAGTACAAATCATTTATTTCAAAATCAAAAAATACTACATTATTAATATATATTTTCTTAGAAAAGAGCACAGGAACTTTTGACTTGAAAAAAATGTCGCCCATGGCCTTTCGATAAAGCAAAAACGGGGGAGTGGGGAGTGGGGTGTGGGGGGGGGTGGGGGGGGGGGGGCAGTCTTTCTTTCTTCGAATAAATACGACACACAAACAACGTCCGATTCAATATTTGCAATCCGTTTGCCGACCCCGAATAACGTAGAAAGTAACCGTGGAAAGCAAACTAGAAAATGCAGACATCCGCTGTGCGCGTTGAACGTCCTGCAGCCTCGAGAGACGCACAAATAAATATATGAAATAAACCAGGTAGCTCGCAGCTGCTGGAGTGCTTTTGTGGATGATGTTTTGTCGGGCAGTGTATATATTAAAGATTTGCATACTAACTGTATTTACTTTAGCAAGAGGGTGGGAGTATAAGGCTATGCTAATTAGTGGGAGATTTTTTTTTGAGGAAGGGGGTGGAATATCAATTTTTATTGCATCACCTGTCAGTGGCATCCAATCAGAGCTCGCTTCGGGGGAATTAATTGATGAAGGTGTCTCCAGACGAGCTCACTTCACTCTGTCATCTTATTTGTGGGAGAAGCAGCGGCGGGAATAGCAGCTGCATTGCTCACTCTCTCTCTCTCTCTCTCCTCTCCTCTCTCCTCTCTCCTCTCTTTCCCCTCTCTCCATTCTTTCCTGTTCAGTACATCTCTGACTATTTGGGGACATTAAAAGATTGCAGGTATTGCGAGAAGCAGAACCTGGAAATTAAGCTGCATTGCATATATATTATATATATATATATATATACATATACATATACAACAGGCGATTCCGATCGTTTTGCTATATGTAGGTATACATATATGGACTATGTATATATGATTTTGTGTTACCATATGTATGAAATAAATCCCAAGTTTTTTTTTAAATCAGCCGTACCAGAAACAATAATTTATATGTGTTTTTAAACAGGATGCCATGAGGAATGTCGTATTTCCGCAGTCGATGTTTTCTCCAGCGAATGTGGGACATAATTTAGCTGGCGACATGGGAGACTTGGAGTCGGGTTATGAAGAGGTGGATGGCGTGAGACTTGGCTATCTTATAATTAAAGGGAAGCAAATGTTTGCCCTTTCACAAGTGTTCACCAATCTGCTGAAAAACATACCCAGGACAACGGTGCACAAAAGGATGGATCATCTGAACGTGAAGAAACACCACTGCGATTTGGAGGAATTGAGGAAACTCAAGGCGATACATTCTATCGCTTTTCACGCAGCCAAATGTACTCTGATATCTCGGGAGGATGTTGAAGCCTTGTACACGTCGTGCAAGACTGAACGAGTTCTTAAAACCAAGAGGAGAAAAATTAACCGAACCTTGTCAGCAACCCAAATCAGACAGGAGAAAACCCCCCCTGATCCCTACTCAAGTTTTTTCAAGGAGAACAAAGTTTGGTTGAGTTTGAATGGAAAACCCCAGCCCTTGGCTGGGAAGAGCAAAGCTTTGCAAGGAGACGTCAGTTCGCTCCCGGCGTCCGATCTACCTCAATTCTACAGCAAATTCACCAGCCACAGCTACACTGAAATGGTGCGATCGCATTGCAAAACCCCCGAAAACTATGAAACTGCCGAAATATCGAGCAATTATGTAGCATTTCACACGAATCACTCGTTATTCCGGAGCATGATTTGCAGACATCCCGTGTTCTACCAATCCTCCCTCGCCTATCATCCCAAGTCTCCCAGCGCCACCGGCTTGACTTATTATTTCAGAAGGAAAAGTTCCTGCGAAATCTCTCAGAAACACTCGGGGAGCCTGAGCTCCGCCAGGCGAGTCCTGTTGGCGACAGCTGCCCCCAAATCCTGCAAAGCGAAAGGGGGGGATCAGGGCTTGAATAAATTTCACATCGCCAGCGGATTGTATTGCAACCACGGGACGTTGCAAGAGAGCTGCAGCAGCGACTCGGAATCCAGCTCCTTTTCTGATCGCATTGACAACGACTCGGACTTCGGGTCAAGCTTGTCCAGTTCCAGCAACTCGGCTTCTTCAGACGATGAGGAAGACTCGCTGTCGGACTCCTCCGATGTGACCTCCGCCAGTGACGAGGACAGCTCGTCCGACTCTGATTCCAGCTCCGTTTCAAGCCAAGTTTCCATGCAAAGCATAAGATTCAGGCGCACCAGTTTCTCGAGCAGCTCCAGCAAACCCCTGGTCCTGTCGCAGCCGACTTTCCACTACCAATTCCAAGCCAAAAACAACGTGGTGTTTGACACAGCTGCCGGTGGATTCCTGGAGGGGAAACCCTCCCATTGTAATTTAAAGTCCGCGTCCATCGTGAAAAGGAACGAGCTGAACTGTACTAACAAGCCACACAGCGTGTGCTGTTCTGCCGGCTCTGTGAGTTGTTTTGCTGAGCTAAGTAACGACAGGCTATCAGAAATCGCATTCCCCCACTCCGAAATATCACATTATCTAAGGAGGACTGAATCGACAATTAACTGTGTTAAAGAGAGGGGGGGCGCACCGAGCCCACAGGGAAACACTGACTTTCCACAACAAAGAACATTAACAGAGGCGAAGGAATGCCTGGAAGCATCTATATCACACTGTGCAGAAGACAACGATGTGGCAATAGTTTCTGAACCGGCAGAGCACGATCCTGCACCAGCAGCAAACGCGGAAAAAGAATCGAAAATCGGCAACTTCATCAAACTCTCCTCGGCTCTCCAGAGGTTAAACGCGGATAACAGCAAAGGCCCCGCGGTCCAAGATCAGGGTAACGATGCGGAGATGGGGCAGACAATTCTGCACAATGTTACAGTCAAACTGGAAGAAAATAGCTGCGAAGAAGAGTACGGAGGCGTCACTCAACAGCCTCGAAAGAAACTAACGTACGGGTGCAATGTCTCCAAGCCAGCAGTCACCACTTTAAGAGAAAGCAAAACGCGAGCCTGTTTCCTGACAAGAGCGCAGGAAAGTTGTACGTGCACTGAAAAAGCCACCACTTCCCAAACCGTACCCGGACCGAGCGAGGAACTTCAACGCACTTTAAGCGCCCCGGTGTTAGAGGACTACGAGTTTCGAAACGGTGCTCGAATCAGAAGGAATTACAGGACTCTGGTGTTGGGGAAACAGCAGACTTTGCAGAGCGCGTCAGTCAAAACACTTGTGAAATCAGAGAATCCGCGGCTTACAGGTAAAACAGATGTGCATGAAGGAACACTGGAAGAATTTGCTGGTGCAAGTAAACGTAAGCGAGTAGCCAACGGTGTAGCATCTTTAGTGAAAAAGCCATTTAATTTCATGGCAAATTTTCCCTCTCCACCGTCACTAATTATTGGCAAGGATGGAGATCTGTGCCCTGCCTATTCACTGAACACTACTAAGGATCCCGATTCACCTCAGAAGGCCCATCCTGTGTGGAAATGGCAGCTGGGAGGTGCTCCTGTACCTCTCCCGCCTAGCCATAAATTCAGAAGGTTTAACGTGTAAAATGGATATTTTTTGGGATGGCCAAACTTCTCCACGAGCACATTTACACTAAAGCAGCACACTCCTGCTTTTGTTTTTGTCACACAGACCCTGACCGGATAAGCATCTTCAAGATCCAGCAACATTTCATCAATACTGGAAAAATGTTTTTTTTTTAAAAAAAACACACAAAAATCCCAAACGTTTTCAGTGTGGATAGGTCTCTGTTTGATTTGCCAAACGCCACTGTCCGCTGATCAAGACATTCCACACCACCACACTTTTTTTCTGAACTACTGATGTCACTTTGAGGTTGTTTTACGGCTGTTTTCGAAGAGTTAAATTAAAATGATACTAAAATGTTCAAATGATAAGCCAGTACCTGCAGAAGATTAACTGCAAAAATTGTACGTCAAAAAATCGACATAGTGAAATGTTAGAAATGAGCCATTAAATTTATGCACTACAGTTTTAATCGCAAACGACTTGCTGTTTTGCCTGAGTGATTGATTGCACGATATTGGGTCGGTAGCAAAGTAAGAATGTGTATTTAACTTTTTTTTAAAAAAGGTGCAAAAACTGTACTTTCTATCTGAGTCAATATGGCCGTCATTCTATATTAAAAAAATAAGCTTTTATCTTGAAAGAGTCCCTATCAGGGGTGTTCAGTTAGATAAGCGCAAGCAGCCTTCTGATTTAAAAGCTTTGTTGTCTTTAGTTCTGAAACGTAAAATAACTGCTTTAAACGCCCATCACTGAACTGTTCGAGAATAGCCACAGAGTCAATCCTAGCTATAGCCCTCATGATTCATACATATTTTCAGTTTATTGCACAAAATGACATTATTTTTTTTTAAAAAAGTAGAGCCAAATAGATGTTTGAAACAAATAAAAAGTGGGGGTCACTCAAAAGTCAAGGATCTTTCATTTTAGGGAAATTAGATTTTTTAAAATATTTTAATTTCTAGACAATGAAGAAATAACGCAGGCACGTGGCTAACGTTACAACTTGCAGGGGTTTTTCGGGGCCTTACAAAACAGCACGAAACAAAACTAATCCTGCATGTGGTGCAGATAACAAACCCTCGCCAAACATACCAGGAATGCTGCAAATGACAATCAGTCAACATATTACCAACCTCTCAGAAAGCAGAAATCCGAAAATATAAGCCTTAATGCAATGATTTGAGCATTTTTGTTTACTATAGTCAAGGGGCCCAGAAAGGTCTGGAGAATTTTGCACTGTTAAAATTTATTTCATTTTGCCTTTCATTTGAATACACCCCAGTTGTGTAGCATAAATACGTGGTTCCTCTTTATGGAATCAAGTATGCTGTTAAAAGTATACAGTACTTTAAAATGTAAAAGCTAAGTTGAATTAGCATTTTTATTTAAGATTTCCAGTTAAGTAGATCGACAAACAACATGTTAATTAGGTATTTTGCACACAATAAGAACGTTTTATAGTTCTGAGATACGCAAGATAAGTGTGATTGTTTAACATAAATGTAGTGTCAACTTTGCAAATCTAAGGGAAATGTTTTTTTAAAAAAGTTAAAAGATTTAGCAAAGCAAATGTTAAGTATGTACTTTGCACAAGCTAAAGTGTATAGATTTCCCAAAGCGCAGAACAGAGAGTACATGCTGGTGTTTGTGAAATAATTTTCACAATACATCAGCATATCCAAGAACTTTGTATAAATACATCAAAGGGAATTTCAAGAGCATGAGCTGCCATGTGCATTAAGAAGAGTATCTCGAATGAAAGTTGTTATTTTACTTGTGGTGTGAGTATTTGTCTTCTGCACATCTTCCCATGTAATTTCATTGTTTAAACCCAGTTATTGCAATTTAAATTATGACTCAAAACAGATAGAATAAAGTACAACTAACTGCGGTTAAGCAGTACTAGTGAACACCAATTGGAATCCCCCTAACACCACAGACCTGTCCCTTGTTATATCTCCCAAGGTCACTCGATATTCGAACCAGACAGTGGGTAATTTCAGCTCTCGATCCTATCCACAATGCTTCTCATACTCCATTACTACACGTGTTTTTCGAAACGTTTTACTCTAATAGTTAAAACAGAAGCTTCCACTGCAACTATTATAGTTCACAATCATGTTATCCACATCCCATGTACGTAAATAGAGCGAAATATTCTACCAGCAAAAAACATGACACATTGCTTATTTAAGTTAATGTGCTGCTAACTGTAGAGCACTTTGGCATTGTTGACATATGTGACTTATTAGCAGTCTATATTGCAATGATTTATCCTAAGAGTGTTTTTCTTAAAGAATGTTTTATTGGTTAACCACCGATTTAAAAACATTTGAAATACTGCACAAATCAGCTGTGGGAAAACCATCACACAAATGCTCCCCTCAACAAAAACAACTACGTTTCCTGTTATTTACCTTAAGACACAGTAATTACTCTCCAAGCAACCATAATTTAATTAAAGCAGGTATCTCTAGGTTTGTAGATGGCTGCTCAAAAGGGTCAAACTATGTTTTCAACTATATTCATATGGATGATGAGAGTTAAAATGCATTTTGATGTTGAAACAACAGCGCAGCCTTGTATAAACAGTGAGCACATACGTTTGCAAAGAGCCATCTCGTTTCTTTTCAAAAGTTTTAAAATAATTGTTGCCGTCCTCTTCTACTTTTTAAAAGTTTTCTTTATTGTTCTGCTAATGCAGTTATTGGGGGTCTGTCTTAACATGCAACTACTTTGAGGCGGCCTGAAACTAATGCAGTAAAGGCTGGTAGATTTTTGCATGAAGCTTTCACAATAGGGGTTTAGTGGACTGACAGTTTCAAAACAAGACTGCCTGTCCTCTCCAGATGCCTGATTTCTCCTCACATCAACCTTCGTATTTGATTCTCTGCTGGTGCATACCTTAGTTTGCAATGTAAAGATTGCAACAGCTGTGTTTGCAAACAAAGGCCACTTTCAGGGTCAGTGCCACTTATTTTATAGTTACTAAAACTGGTATGATCTGAGAAACTGCAAATGCCTATGCGTGTCCTATAGCAAGTATAATGAATGGACTACATTGTTTAGCTAGTTAGTGGGCATGATATTTAAACCTGAGCAAAACATTTGGCATTATGAAATTATATATAGATGTATATATTTGTACATGTGGCATAAATATTACTTGGGTGCCAGAATTCAAGGCATTCACCGTAAAATAAGTTGAAATAAACAAGATAACAGTCATTTTTTTCAACTAAATCTGTTAGGAAATACTTCAAATTGCCGCCATATTGCTCCACTCAGCCCCATGTCTTTGTTGTCACTCAGTTAGAACTAGTGTTTACTGAAATTGTGACTACCTCATTAGTTTAGGCGGAACAGATCTTCCTTTTATAAGTTTGATTTATAACATACGCCTCTCTGACATTTACTCCACGTATTAAGCTGCAGCGTGTTAAAAAATAAACTGGAATTTAAACTCCATTAAAGATGGCGAGGCTGTGTGTGTGTGTGTGTGTGTGTGTGTGGTTAGCAATTTGCCCTCTCTGTTTCCTGCAGTTCACATGTTAATTTCGCTGTTATAAGGAGGTTTCTTCAGTTTTCTTTGTGCTTTCCTAGTTTGCTGCTCCACACCCCCTCCTTCCCCAAAACAGTACAAATTAAGCTAAATCTCGCAAATTCAAGGATTGTTAGCAATTGCTCCGAATCCCTCCTTTGCGGAGTTAATGACATTTGACAGTTAATAACGCTGATTAAAAAAAATCCATTTTAATGCCCAACCGTTTCAAACCACCATTTTTAATCTTCAAAGGGTATCCTAAAGTGGTGGGGAATTGTTACATTTTTTTTTAAAAAAATCTCTTATTTTTAAGATGTGTGAATAATTTTGAATGCAGAATAATATACAGTTAAAAGATTTTGGATCACTCCAGGCAATCATACACACCTTAACGACAATGCTGATTCACAAAGTACAACGTCGGAATTCGTGGGAGGTTATAGGGAGAATTTTGTGCTCTTTAAAAAAAATCAGGGGAGAAAAAGGGTGAGGTAGCATTGTTTATGTGTGTGTGTGTGTGTGCCCCTGAAATGAGTTTGCTATAAAGCGTGTGAAATTACGCACTGCTCTCCTAAAGACTGGATAATTTATCGTAAATAGTCAGCTCTTTGTAAACGACTTTATTATGTTGTTTCTTGTTAATTGTGGAGAGAATCCCCATTGTTAGGCGTGAATGGGTTTATGGGCTAACCTGGTCATTGCTGCAATCAAGGAACAGTAAATGTTGGCCTTGCGTGCCTTGCAAAAACAAGGATCCAAACTGCAAGCTGGGCGTCCTCTTCCCAAAACAATAGCTTCATCTAGTCGCTGGATGATCAGTTTTATCAGACACACGTACGTAATACAAAACATGTTATATTTACACTGAAAATTAAAAAAAAATCAAATACACTGCTGGTCAGTACAGAGCCTAAAATGCTAATCACAAGATCCCAGTTTGTTGCCATATATATATATATATATATATATATATGGCCAATTATATATATATATATACACACACACAGTGCAGTTATTTGTTGAATTAGATTTTTAAAAATATCCATATTTGAATTACCCCACGTTTGTGACCTTTCTTTAGAAAATATCCTTTCTTTAGAGTAGAATGTACCGTCTTGTAGTTTCAGGTCAAAGAGGGAAGGATAACTACATTGCTACTAACATATTCTGACCATAAAACAGACAGATATCACATAACGGAGTTCAGATCGCTGCTCCTTTTTTAACAGGAAACATTGCAATTGGATTTGAAGGTTGTGCTTGTTAAGATTCTGGTTATTTGTGAAGCATGGACCATTTGTATAATAGAAACAACCTACTGGGAACACAACTCTGCTCACAGGTTCAGAAACTTTCCACCGAGGAACGTATCGTCGAAACCATTAAGAATCGCTCAGAAAATCGAGGTTCCATCAATATATTGATTTGATCACAATCTCAAAGTTTGCTCCTCATCGCAATTACTTGATTTTCTTCTTTTATTAGAAAGAAGGGGCGAGGCAAGGGGGTGAGGGGGTGGGAGGGGGGAGCCTGAAATATCCGCTGGTTAAATTTATGGTGTTTTTTTTAAAAAAAACTGGGATTTTGAGAACAAACAGGCTACTTTCATTAATCTGCGATCGGTATTCCCAGAGACAGCAAAGGACTCAGCAGGGAAGAGCCCTGGTGACACGTGGGTATGGGATATTTTCCCCAAGTGGAGGCGTGTTGTTAATTTTTTACTTCCAAACTGCCTGTTATTCTGCACTACCCACGTTGCAGACTCGCTTTCCCTTTGGATGGCTTATGGTACCGAAGTTCTGTGTTTCTTTCTTCAAGGGTTTTCTTCTGAAAAAAAGGGAGGGGGGAAACATGGCCAATGTGAGTCTGTACTGTAATGTGGGTCAAGGGACGGAAGAATGTCC